TTTATAGTAATAAGACTTTCAATTCTTACAAAACTGTACAAAGGACAGTTCTGTAAAATGAAGGTAAAGGTTTCTGAATGGCTGGTACAGTATATAGTATCTGGATTATAGCAACTCACCCCAACATATGTAAACCAACATAATTATCTACCACCACCCAAGAAGTAGAATATGATATCACAAATGATATCATACAAGGACTTGTAAGATATTTATTAGTATCATGTAGAGTAAAGATCCTAAAGGAAGACAATTTTAAGACAAACATAGCCCAAACCAGAGTGGAATGATTTGGAAAACATCATAAAATCTCTCTTCTCCTACTCTATTCATCATACAAAATTACTTCTCTCTTCCCTCTTTCCTAGATAATGTCACAATAATAAATGATTTCAATATGAAAATTCTTCCAAAGACATAGCGGTTCTAAAACTCTGCTATTAAAATTAAATAACATGTGATTTTTAAATTGTTTCATTATAATTACTTGGAGAAAACCCTAAGAAGTCAAAGTAGATATTTTTATAATAGACCAATAAAGATACTGGGCTAAAAGATCTACTCAGTGGGAAAACCTACTTTCTGGATTCCTGATGAATATTCCTTTTGAAATTCCCCTGGTGCATATTAAAAGCTAGTAACCATGAAAACATGGGCAATAAACATAGTTTAAATCATAGTTTATAGAGATTTTAAAGAAAATATTCCCACTCCTACTTATTAAAGAGTCAGTTGAACCCTTTTCATTTCTCATAGATGGATTTGGATTGTTCTGTTTTCCCTTTTGTAAAAAGAGTGAAAGAGGATAGAGAGGAAGAGCAAACAAAACAGAAGTTCCGGCTTTTAGAAGCAGACTTTTCCATATAGGGTCCTGTGAGTACTTAGGACATCCTCAAGGTTTTCCAAAGCCAAAGAAGGGGCCATCTTGTCTTTATTTTATCAGCTAGCTTAGTTGTAATATTTCTATTTTATTTTTGTATTGGAGATGGTATTACTGTGATAGAGATAGATTTTTTTTATTTTTATTTTTATTGCTACCATATTAGGAATCAAGTGTTCAGAAGATGTATATTTATCATCAAAACTTACAATATGTAAGGTAAATGTTTACTTCACATAATCATTCAGTAATACCTATTTAATCAAATTTTATGTAGCTAAGTATGTCAATATAGTTGGGAGTGTCAACACCAAGTTCATTTTTCATTTCTTCATTTTTGTAGTCAATGTTTCCAATGTGGACTAATTTACAATGAATAAGCTATGACTAGGATCTGGTCAAGGAGTTCACTCTCTAAAACATGGAGGCCAATCCACTGGAAAGATAAATGCTTGTGTTCAACTGAGACCATCATAAAAATCTTCATGAAATAGGCAGCAGTAGATCTTCGAAAATGGTGGGTTAACAAAAGCCACAAAGCTGAAAAGTAAAGAGTACTAAGTAGTAAGTGGTTGAGTTTGCTGTAAATAATAAGCTGGGTAAAGAGCTGTGATTATGATAAGAAGCAAAAGGGGTTATGAGAGTCTGATTTTTTGGAGGTTAGCAGTGACTGAATAAGCTCACAGCTGTGTGCAGTAAATTGGATCCTCTTAAAAGTTTTAAAACAGCTAAGAAATTGATCAGAGGGATGCCTGAGAAAGATGCTCAGAACCTTAACTAGTAACCAGGCTCCACCATATCATTTATCATGACTCCAGCTTTGCATCTATATCATAGAGTAGAAAATATTTGTACTGTTTTCCTTGCATGCACGAGATTCAATAGAAAATCTGCTCATAGCATCATCCAAGCCAATGAAGATAGTCATTAAATATATGTGAAGAATTTGCAAAGAGAAAACAAGACAGTTGATATATTTTATTTTATCACATTGTATTTCTAATTCCTGAAAGCATACCTACATTTACAATAGAAAGGAAAAGATTTGGGGTTGTAAGTTATTTAAATCTTTGACATTTTCTCATGAGAAATTTGCATAAAAAAGAAACAAATTGGCTGCGTTCATATATTTTAAAAAAGAAAAAACACAAAACAAGCAGCAAATGGTTAAGCAATTTTATTTAATTGCATTTTGTAGCACAATTTTTTTCCTTTTTTCTTCTTTGGGAATAGCTTTCCAGAGTCTGATGATTTATTTAATGGAGGGTTTTTTTTTTAATAGGCCTAGCATATTAGGATTCTTTATTAACTTTTACATTTGTGGATTAACAAGAAACAGAACGTCAGGTTTCCCAGGGAACAGAAAATCTTTCCTTTTAGTCATATGTTCAATTTAAAAACCTAGCATTCATAGGCATTCTTTATGTGCAACAAACCAATTAGCTTCTTGCCCACATCAAACTTTATCAGCATGTTTTAGGGTGCATACATTAAGAAAGCTCTTCACTGACAGCTTACTGGTCTGCACCAGTTGTCAGTTTTCAGGGTGTCACTGTCATTGTATAGAGCACCACTGGTCCTGCTGGGCAGGAACACTGACTCCTTCCTTCCTGGCACCAGCCACCATCACATCAGTCCTCGCAGTTCAAGCTACAGTCCTGTCCAATGGTCTGTTCTAAACAGACAGGAAGTAGTACCAGTGACAAAGCTAACCAGACCAGAAGTGGTTCTAGCTTCGTTGGCTCTTAACTGTCTACATAACTCGAATCAAACATGAAGTTCTTAATTTCCCAAAGAAAATCAGGATCCTTCAATATATTTCCTAAAGGGTCCTAGAAAAGGGCAGCAGGAGCTATGTCTTAAAATAGTGCTCATTTCATTTTTTTACAATTCTAATCTTGGAATGTAGTCCTTAATGAATACTCACGGGCTTTAGAAAACAAAAGAAAAAAGAATCACCCCTGATTCCAGAGCACAAAATAACCAATGTTCCACGCATTTAGTACTTTTTCCTGAGGCTTTTTAATGCATATTTCCCCAGTAAATTTTGTTACTGAAACTTAGTATACTTGCAGAAAAGTACACAAGTCTGAAATGTAAACTTCATTTTTTATAACGTGAACAACCCGTATATGCACAACAGATCAAGATACAGAGTCTTACCAGACACCCAAAATATCAAAGATGACTTGATGATTCCGCCATTAGCCTCACAAATTAAACACTATCCTGATTTCTAACACCATATCTTATTTTTCCTTATTTTTAAACGTTAAGTGGAATTGTAAAGCATGTACTTTGGGTGTTAGGTTTCTTTCATCAATGTATTTGTGGGATTCATCCACAGTGTGTATACATGGGTTTATATTTTATTGTTGTATAGTATTCCATTCCTTAGATGTTTCAAATATTTCTTCGTTTTGTTCATGAAAGAGATTACCTTAACCTGAGTTAGTGTGGAGAGAATTGTATTTAGATGTTTAAGGCTCATTTCATTTCAACTTTCATTTATTGTTTTTATTAGGAGGGATGGGGCAGTGCTTTTAGATGTTCTAACTGAAAGTCCTTTTTACCAAGACCTCTAGTACTCTCATCACCACTGCACTGCTGAGAATTGGGCCTAGCTCTTCACTTCTCACCAGCTGTGTTTTACATTTCCTGTCACAGCTCATACACTGGCAAATGCTGTTTTACTGGTAAAACAGCAGATATGTGTCTGGGTTCCTCTTCTTTCCAGATCTTGGTCAATTAAGTTCTAAGTACATATGTTGTCCTGAACTACTGCTATTCTGATTTTGAGTAGCCAAAGCATCAGAAGTTTAAGATTTCTGTTTTTATGAAGAAGCATCTATTGATATTATGATTTGGACATATCTCAAAAATATTACTACTACTTTATTATTTGCCTTCTAAAGCAGTCATCAAGCCTTGAATTTGTTAAAATAAATGTTGAGCAAAAAGTACAGCTCTGTTTCACAAAGGAAAGAAAAGGCAGCTGCAGACTGACTACACCCAATTACTTTTGATAGAGTTTGTGCTAATTTATTTTAATCAGAAATGACTTGATGCTTGAGCTCTGTTGCCTGGATATCTAAGAAAAACTAACTGCTCAGATTCTGAAGAAATTTTCTCAGTTCATGCAAGCATATTAAACAATTGGTTCCTTATACTTTAAAATCTTGAAGGGAACTATATTTTAAGGCTATTTAAGGTAAAATTTAACTATATAAAATGGTTTTTAGTGGAATTATAATAACTGGAAGAATTAAAAGGGCCTAATATTCCCTATTATGCTAATTCACCAAAATCACCCCTCCATCCTGTACCTGTTGCCCACAAATACCTACTGAATACCCCATTATTGTAGAGAAAGAAGGAAGACAAAGGTTGACAGATCTGATAGGAAATTGTGAAGAAGTGAATTTTGCTCTTCTTTCTCCTGAACTTCTCGTTGAAATAATTGATGGTTTTAATCAATGAATTCATTGATAATGAAACTGTCCACACTGGGATATATGTGAATTTTCTAATAATAAGGAGAATGAGTATAAAGTGGTAAATTGTGCTCACCAATTTTGTGCAAAACATTTAGTTCTTGGAAATTTCTTCCCCTTTCTTCATCTTCTTCTTCAGAAGAAGGAACCAGAGAGGGGCCACATGATGAAGTAGTTGAGGTGGTTCTGGAATAGACAGCCCAGAAACCTCACCACTTCTAATTCCTCTTCTTCTTCCAGCTCCTCATGATCTAAAGCTAAAAGCATAGAGGAAAGGGCTGGGTTTCAACGTGTTGGTTAGAAGAAGGGAAATGTGAGCAAGGACGACAGAGAAATAAGAGGTTGAAATAGACAGCCATGCAGGGGCGACTGAAAAGCAAAGCACTTTGAGGTGGCCATTTCAAAAGTCTATTGTCAAAAATTGCAAGAAGTTGCAAGTACAAAGTGGAAGCTCAGCAGACACAGCAAAAGGGAAAGAAAGATCTCAGTCTGTGAAGAGAGAAAGGGAAGGCAGATTGAGCTAAAGAATATGTGCTCTCTGCTCCTGAAGAAGATAAGGGTAGAAGTAGTTTAGACAAGACTCAATAAAATTCTTCAGTGACTTATAGATGCAAGATCTTCTGTCACTTCCTATTCTGTAGGCTTCTTCACAAGTACAGTCATATGTTCCCACAGAATTAATACATAGGTAGTCACAGTCTATGCCGACATCCAGGCACTCATCTACATCTGGAGAAGTTAAATCATATCTGCTTTCTGTCTTCCTTTTGTGATTGTTATTAACCAATAGCAACATACTGCCATATAGAAAGCAAGAACACTCCCATATTCTTTCTCAGTCATTGTTCATCTCTCCCTCATTTCCAAGTTTACTATAGTGCATCTACACAAGCAAGCTCTTTCTGAGACCTTGTTTATGAGGTTTAGATGAAGACCATAAAACTTAAATTCAACAGTTTTAGGCTGTGCAGAATGTTCATGCTTAAATTCAAGTATATATTGAAAATGTCTATGCATAATTTTGTACAGAGAGTGTGGAGAATTCTAGAATTTGAAGATCTATAGGTCTTGATTTCATGTGACTGACTTACTAGCTTATGACCAAAAGGAGACCAGATTTTAGTCAGTGAGTTCAACATACTAAAAGTTCAGTAATAAAGCTGAGCTTCTAAGATTTGCCTTAGACTGTGCATACCTTCTTCACTTGCATGTGTGTATGCTGTATGTACATTCATGCCATACAATCATTTTTTGGCTTACTCTGTTTAAGAGCAGATGGTACATAAAATTCAACTTTTTGTTGGCTCTGTTAATTGGATGGAAATGGTAAATGGTAATAAACTCTACTGTGTTTAGTGTATATAGATAGCATAGCTGTGTGTTTTTCGCCATTATCTATACTACAAGACTGGTGTATAGTAGTATAGTCCTTCGCTATCTGTATGAAGAAACGCACTGATCATCAGGATTCAAGAATTTGGTCCTTTATGCAAAGAAACACTATTTTCCCTGAGATGTAAAGTTATATATTTGAACCGTTACTGGGATAGACTTCAATCTCCTGATCTGTGCTTTGGTTTCAAGAAAAATATTGTTTAAACTAAGAGTAATAATGGTTATGAAATGAAAATTTAATGATCACACATTTAAGGTAAGTTTTAGAAGTAAATCATGGCTATAACTTACATGAGCTATTCTTCATGAAAGAAGCAAAGTTAAATAACTTTATTTATTATATTCAAACTCACCTACAAAAGGTAGAAATCTCCTGAATGGTAAGTGAACTAATTTTAATTAGAAAATTATAAGACAATTTATCTTATAATTTGCCTTAGCTGTACTGTAGGAGATATATAAAGGATTCTGGTGCAGATTTTGGTTCATAAAATAATAAGCCTCTCATTACTGTTCTCTAATTTAAAAAACTCTTTGAAAATGACTTTCAGTAACCAGTTATCTAATTCCAGACAAGCTTGAGATGGATGATTCTTATGGCAGTGCTATGACCTTCCAGAACCTCTCATTTGTTTGTATATATATGCAACACACACAAAATTAGGTGAAAGGAATTATGGACCAATGAATATGATAATAGATATAGCTACTTTCAGTTGAGTGATTTTTCTGTGTCAACCACTGTACTAGGTATTTTACATTTAGCATTTTCTTTAATGTGTGCACTAATCTGATTATTGTCTTCATTTTACTGATTAGGATCTGGGGCTGTTAGAGTCATCCAAATCCATATGACAGTACCTGATAGAAACATTCAGATATCCAACTTTCTTTAGGGTGAACACCCTCAGCCTCAGACCTCCTCCTCCATTGATTGTCCCATCACATCAATTATTTCATGTTAGAATTCAGGAACTTACCATCACATCCACAACCATCAGAACTGATCTGAAAGCCTTCCTGACAGCTGCATTTATAGCCTCCTAAATAGTTGATGCAAAGCTGGGCACAGCAGGTTTCTTCATTCTCACATTCATCAAGTTCTGAAGGGGATAAGACACATCTGTTACTGCAGAAACAGAAGTTTAACAGACCTATAGAAGCTCTGAGAAGACTTGTTTTGAAATTAAAGCTTTTTTATTAATCATTTTCCATTTTCCGGTCACTTACCGCAGATACTGAAGTAACTATAACACAAAAATAATGAGACCCAGTTTTGGTTTGGATTTCTTCTATGCTTTTTCTATGCCTGCTATTACTTTAAAGGAATGTAATCTCCAAATGCATTTATAAGCACAAGAAAAGAGATCTCTGGTATGTTTCCAGTTTAGACAGCAATCCAAATGGATAAACAGAGAATTTGAAGAACAAAAAGACAGATTGAGAAAGAGGAGCCAAAGAATTCCATTTAGTAACATTTGACAGCTGCAAAAAGGAGACAGTCTCAGACTCCATAATGTGTTTGTTCTTCTAGAACTTCAGATGAAAGATTGTTCCTAAGTGCAAGTTCCTCTCTTGCAGAACTACAAAGAAAAGTAACTACAGTTCTAAGAGAAGGAAGAACAATTATTTTAAATTATATAGACTATTTCAGAGAATTTGCTTGAATATTTAGACAGAGGTGAGTGAGGTTGGAGTTTTTGTTTCAATTGTGAGTGACATCACTACCCTGGCATATCCTGCCAGGTGAGTAGTTTTCTAAATGATGACTTTTAGCCTCCTTCAGCACTATTATTCTACAGTTCTACAATCCTGAATGTTTCTTCTTAATACATAGCTGCCCTAGGGAAAATAAAAAAGCACCAGAAAATGTCAAGTTGAAATGTCTCAGAACACCAGTCTATTTGACTTGGGTTTTGAAGGAATCATTTCTAATAATGGCTGAGGATTTACAGCAGACACTTGCCTCTGCTTTCCTTGGATTGGGCACCTGGAAACAGTATGGTCAAGGGTTTTGGCTCTGGTTCAACCTACTCCCCTGCTCCCCCATTTGTTGAGCTGTTAAGTTAGGTGGCCTGTCATTACTGAGTTTACAGAAGCCTATTGCTCCATGAGTACAAGAACAGCCACAAATAAAGAAAGGTCAGTGTCTCAATTAACCTTGGAAAAGGTGCCAACTCAAGTACATGAAGACAAGCGACAGGAAGGAAAGAAAATGCAATCAGTCAATCAAGGAGAGGGGTCACCATAAAACATCTAAATGAAGGTCATTTAGACAAAAAACATTCTTCTGAAAAATGTCACAAGTAGTGCCACTCACAAAATCCCAGACTGTATTATTCCTTTTCTTACAGAAAATCTTTGTCTTTTAGATTAAATAACATGGGCATAGAAGACAAAGAAAAAGACCCCATAAAAATAATAGTTTCACTTAATCTAAAGCAGTGATTTAAAAAAATTTTTTTTAATTCCCAGATTTTTGAAAGTCTTCTCAACTAGCACCAGAGCCTCCACACATATAGGTCTCACCTAGTAAGGAGTTATATCACAGAACTCAGAAATAAGTCTCAGAAATAATTTTGATCCATTTTAGACTATTCTTCTACTTTCATTCCTTTTGGGACATTTCTGGCTTCTCCCATGTATATCATCTTCAATTCAAAACTTATCTGCAATCCCTTTCTTCCTATACCCAAATCCTTTCTTAAAATGCCCTGTCATCACCAGTTGTCTAAATTTCTTTATTTCTTTTTAGATCTCATTTGCTAAAATAAATCTTTGTTTGCTTATTTTTCCCTTTTAATTTTCATCCCTTTTGATGATATTTTGGCCAATATGCAAAACGTTGCATGACTGCAGAGACATAATTCACCATTCACCCGTTCATAAAAATTCAGCCCTAATTAAAGGTAAAGCACGAGTTGGAGCCAGGCAAAGCAAGCACTTCAGCTTTGATTTCAGGAAAGCATTACAGTGAAAAACTTTGTCTTCTGCGTCTGTCTTCCACACATAGTCACTGAATGGCTAGAACTAAGAAAAAACATTTTCTAATAACTGGCTAGCAGCTAAACTTAGTGAATTTATGCTGGGGATCAGACAGTTGTCGTCTTATTGCACTACCTTTAAAATTACATTTTATTCATCTCTCTTGGTTTTAACACTAATGTTTTCCATTTAGGCAAGACTGACCACTTACATGTTAACTGATTTATTTTCACACTTAGTTATACATTCTCATATTTAAAGAAAGATTTGATACTAAGGTAATCTTAAAATTCCTTAATTTATTTCTTGCATATGTTTTGACAAAGCATATGTGACTTTAATTTATTACCAGGCAAATAAGCAAAGTATGTTTATGTGTACTCCAAATGAATCATTACCTTTGCAGTAGGGAATATTTGGTCTTTGGAAGTAATTTTTATTGTTGGAAAAAGCAAACTTGAACCATAAGAAATGTAACATTTTCATGTTGACTGCTGAAATCTCATAAATATGCAATTTTCTGCATTTTGACCCTGGCAGATGCTATATTTTTCTAGCTGTAAATAAGAACTTTACTAAATTGTACTTTCCAAAGAATAAAGAAAGATGTTAAATTATAAGTTGCAAAGAAAAGATTTATCAAAATTTCAGTTTCTCTTATCCAGTAATCAAATGAGTAGCATGGGTGGAAAGAAGGAATGAAGGAAATCTTTAATTTTTTTCCATAAATATAAACATTAACAAGGAAAAAACATTTTCATTACATAAAAAGAGGCAGCAGAGAAAGCAATTAGTTTTGAGAAGTTAACCACTGTAGGCTCTGACAGAAAGGCAGAGGCAATGTTGGATCAAGAAATACAAGTAGAAGTTGGGTGTCACCAGTGGCTCACGCCTGTAATCCTAGTTACTTAGGAGGCAGAGATCAGGAGGATCATGGTTCAAAACCAGCCTTGGCAAATAGTTCATGAGACCCTCTCTTGAAAAAACCCATCACAAAAAAGGGCTAGTGGAGTGGCTTAGGGTATAGGCCCTGAGTTCAAACCCTAGTACTGAAAAAAAAAATACAAGAAATGTTATGTAGGAAACTATAATACTAGGAAGTTTACCCTCTTCATATGGTGACAAAATTAAAATGAATCTCCATCTCTTTACTAATACTTTAAATGATCTCTCATCACACTGAATAGCATGAAATTCACATTATAATTTAAAGGTAGGAAACAAAGGATAACACAAAAAACAAATATGGTATCACAGATGGAACCCATTTTTCTCATTGTCCTAAATGATGTAAATTCTAATGATATGTTGGGAAAGCTATCCATTAAGAGTGGGTTTGGCCTGGGATGTCCAACGAATAATTATCTTTTAATGTTTTCTTCTGGTATATAGTGACCTGCAATATTAAAGTTAAACTTCCAAATCACTACCAAGTTCAAAAACAATGCATATGATTTAGTCTCTGCTTGAGATAGGAGAAGTGGGGTGTATGGTAGCATCTGTTGTTGGAATACAAATTGCATAGGATGGTTAGGTAGATCTTGGAATATTTTACTGAAATAAAAATTGAAGGCCACATATTTTATTAAAATATTTTCAATTTCCTTAATTTCAAAGTCAATGTGTAAATGTACCTTCTGCTGAGTTATCTTTTCTTTATGTTAATTCATTAGCCAGAGATACTGCAATCTAGCCCTCCCTGAAGTTTGAAATGCGGCTCATATTACATCAATAAGTACTAATATGAAAAGGCTAAATGAGGTCAGGACAACTTCTGAAAGAGCCTGCAATTTACCAAACATTACCTATGCATATTTTCTCATCTGAATCAAGCTGGTGTCCATGGTTACAGGAACAACGGGGTCCACCAATTGAATGTTCACAGTGATGAGAACAACCACCATTGTTCTTTTCACAGCTATTGACAATTTCCAATTCAATCCCTTTCCAAAATAAGCAAAAGAAGGCTATTAACATAACAACAGAGAAACCTGAATATATACCAATAATGGGCACACTTTGTTGGGAGGACCGTAAACTTTATTGGAAATTTATCAATACTTTGTAGTTACAAAGTAAAAAGTTAAGGGCTATTAAGCATTGTAAGTATCTATTTCAGATTGAGAAATAGATAAACCTATAAATAATGTTAAGTTGACAAGTGATGCAGAAAGACAACGATGAGTTCACCACTGATTATTAAACACTTATAAGGGACACTTACCTTAGTGAATTCTCAGAATATAAAAAATATATGTATTGGGTAAATGACCACAAAGCAAATAGGTTGTTTTGCCCATTGACATTTCTGTTCTCAGCTAATGCAGTGTTATTATCTGTCCTTTCTAGGGCCTATGAGTACAAGAGACAATTGTGAAAAATAGCCCTGGAACAAAAGCATGTACACAAAACCAATGAATTGGCTGGTCATGTGTTATGTTAGTACACCAATCAGCTTTGATGTACATAGACTCACTTATTATATGAACATGTTATTACTTTGAGAACCAATTTGCCAATTCCACTACATGTTCCTAATTTGGGGCTTGTTGTCAAGCATCAGCTTCAGCATATGAATGCCAATTGTCCTAAGCACACACAGGCATTACAGTGACTGATTTCCAGAGTGAAATGAGAAATGAAAGAATAATTTGAATCAATGTTTAAAGTATAGGATTTAGATACTATGACTGCTCTTTTGCCATTGGAATCTATGGTATTTCATTTGCTGGTGTGGACACACTGTTCTTGCTGAGAGTATCTACATTGGTTCTTTTCCTTCCAATTCATTCCAGTCTTAACTTCCTTTGGAAGAAGAAAAATGAGAAAGAATATGGCAGGAACATTTGGGATTGTGGTGCTCCTTGAATGCATATTTCATCTTTAATGCTGCCTGGGTATCCACTATAGTTTCCAAGATCATTTCTACATCGTGTTGATCCCACTGTGCCATCACATCTCGCATTAACTAGCTCTAACAGATGCACAAAAACTTGTTTTGAATGATTGAGTAAACAAAAGGAGAATTATGCTAACCAATTTATTATTGAAAGTATGAATCTCTATTGGTTTAGGAATAGCTAGTTTAGGACTAAGCAAAATTAGAAAGCTAAAAGATTGAGAAAGTGAAGAGAATTGATATTTTTCATGATATGCTAAAATATATCTTCTTTGTGATACAGAACTGAGATTTTTTTCATCTTTGCCATTGTCAAAGATGCATTTTAAAGTATTTATAAATCATATTTGTTATCTTAGTGTCAATCCAGTCAACCCTATCATTTTTTGGAAAGAGAAGTAAGACTGATTGAGGCCAAATCACATCTTTAATAATATGTACGGCATTATTGATATTAAAAGCCAGGTCTCCCAGGACGGTTTTTTTCTACTATACAATATTTACGCTCTCATATTCAAGTAGAAAGAACATAAAATTTAAGGTCAGAAGATCTGACACTTTAAGGCTCTATGATTGATTGTCAGTAAATAATTTCATGCAGATACATCAAATTTGGCTGTTACTGTGTTTTTAAAATTGAGAAATTTTTCATGAAGTTCTGGAATTTCTTTTTGTATCCTTAGTGCTAAGGAAAGTATGTGTCCAGTAAGCATTTGTTGGATGGATAGTGAGTCTAGACAGTGACACAGGGCTTACTCCATCTGGACAACAAGTAACAGGAAGCAAGTAGTAGCTGTCCTCTTTACTCCCAGAATTTGCTGTCCAGTTCAACACAGTCCCCACAACTCCTATTATCTGATACTTGACTTGCTTTACACATTTCTGTTTACTGTCTGCCTAGTGCTGGTATTAGAGTTTTGATCCTGGAGCAGATTATAGTCAAGATACTGGAAACAAATTTTCCAATGCTTATTAATTTTTAGGAGAAAAATCTATAAAAACACACATCTGAAGAATTTTGTGTAGGTCCTTTCATTCTTGTTGTTTTCCTGTGATATTGTGTCAATATAGCTCGAAGACTTCTGGTAGTAATTTAAATTACATGTAAATGATACTATAGTACTTTCATTAAAAATAAAATTAACACAAGTCCCACTAGAAGCAAATTGAGCTTTTGAGTTCTTGATCTAGGTAATAAACAGTGACTTACTATTATGCATAAAAAAATCATACTTAAAAAACATAAGTGATCCGTGTTGCTTCTCACAGGTAGCAAATATATTGCTTGATAGATAAAATATGCAATAAATATGTATGGAACTCATATTAAGCTATATTATGTATTCATTTGTGAGAAATCTTATCTAATCCTGCAATATCTGGCACTCTCCTATTTCTAATCACAAGATAGTGTGGGCTAATTCATAGCACACACTCTAGCACACACTGTGAGTATTTAATGGTTATGATATAAACTGTTTTTAGACCCAATCAGAAGAACTTACATAAATATGAAACCCTATTTTCTAGGACAAAGGTAATGCAAATATCCTCAATATATCTGTTAGATGACAGGCACATAATTCATTGTTGAGTATTACCATGCTCTAAAAAAATTTACTCTGCCTGCAGGTTTTTAAACAATTCAGAATACAACTTTTCACCAAGAAAGGTTTATATGTCAGTAAGTAAATATTGATATCTGGTGATGACTGCAGAAAGAACTTAGCTAAATATTCACATAAGGGAACTAAATGTAAAAATATACTCCTACCAAATGTATTCAACTCCAGGGCAAATTGCTTTCCAGAGTAAATTCTACAGAAAGTCTGTACTGTTTAAGTCATTATCAATGATGAACCCTCTTTCAAGATAACTGGCATGCACTAGTTAGATTGCAACAGTTATTATCCATACATTTGAAAAATGTACTCATATCCTAAAACTCTAGCTATATTTAAAAACCAAGTATTAACAAGAAAGAAAGAAAGAGAAAGAAAAACCTTCTACATGTTTCTTTTCCTGAACAGATTCCTTAGGGCATTCAGAAAGAAAAATAAAAAAACTGACTTCAGAAGAATAGAAGTTGTATCTTAATTAGTAGTCAATTTCCCTCTCATCCTATGTAGTTTTCTCTTTAAAAGGCAAATATCACTGTAGCAAAACTGCAGTCTATACACAGTAGAAATATACCAGCAGACAATCAGGCTACACTGGCAAACCAAGAAACAGAATTTTATGTAGAAAGGACGAACGATTTTATTTTATTTTTTTTATTATTTTATTATTCATATGTGCATACAAGGCTTGGGTCATTTCTCCCCCCTGCCCCCACCCCCTCCCTTACCACCCACTCCGCTCCCTCCTCTCCCCCCCACCCCCTCGATACCCGGCAGAAACTATTTTGCCCTTATCTCTAATTTTGTTGAAGAGAGAGTATAAGCAATAATAGGAAGGAACAAGGGTTTTTGCTGGTTGAGATAAGGGTAGCTATACAGGGAGTTGACTCACATTAATTTCCTGTGTGTGTGTGTTACCTTCTAAGTTAATTCTTTTTGATCTAACCTTTTCTCTAGTTCCTGGTCCCCTTTTCCTATTGGCCTCAGTTGCTTTAAGGTATCTGCTTTAGTTTCTTTGCGTTAAGGGCAACAAACGCTAGCTAACTTTTTCGGTGTCTTACCTATCCTCACCCCTCCCTTGTGTGCTCTGGCTTTTATCATGTGCTCATAGTCCAATACCCTTGTGTTTGCCCTTGATCTAATGACCACACAGGAGGGAGAACATACGATTTTTGGTCTTTTGGGCCAGGCTAACCTCACTCAGAATGATGTTCTCCAATTCTATCCATTTACCAGCGAATGATAACATTTCGTTCTTCTTCATGTGTGCATAAAATTCCATTGTGTATAGATACCACATTTTCTTAATCCATTCGTCAGTGCTGGGGCATCTTTGTTGTTTCCATAACTTGGCTATTGTGAATAGTACTGCAATAAACATGGGTGTGCAGGTGCCTCTGGAGTAACCTGTGTCACAGTCTTTTGGGTATATCCCCAAGAGTGGTATTGCTGGATCAAAAATGGCCAAAAAACACATGAAAAAATGCTCACCATCTCTAGCAATAAAGGAAATGCAAATTAAAACCACGCTAAGATTCCACCTCACCCCTGTTAGAATAGCCATCATCAGCAACACCACTAACAACAGGTGTTGGTGAGGATGCGGGGTAAAAAGGAACCCTCTTACACTGCTGGTGGGAATGCAAATTATACAACCACTCTGGAAAAAAATTTGGAGGCTACTTAAAAAAGGACGAACGATTTTCGTGACCTTAAACTCTCTTCATGAGGGAGTTCAGGCAAGCATTATAAACCTTTCATTTTATTCATCACTCTCTTTATTCTTCTTCTTTGATCAACACCAATAAAGAGACATATAATGTAAATGAACAGGACAAAGTTGATAGGGTAATATATGCAGAATTGAAAGACCCTGGTTCAAGTACCAGTCTGTCACTTACTGATGTTGCCTTTCTGGGATTTGGGCCTCGGCACTGAGTGGATAGTTTGCTAAGATGTGGAAAAAGTAGGAGCATCTTTGGAATGGGCACTTGCAATCAAGCAGTTAAGTTTTGCAATGGCTATTAGTCATGCAAGTGGCCATTCTGGGTACATTAAGTAAACTCAGGTAGTTGAAAGGAGAGAAGCTGACAATAGAAATTTGACACTGAACCAGAACAGAGGAGAAGAAGAAAACTAGAAGGTGTAGTAAGGCAGAGGGAAGAAAGCATTTCAAGAAGAATGAAGATGGTCAACTGAAAGATGCTGTGGACTGGCTCAGGGCTTGTACTTTGGTGCAACACTTAGTGTTGTGTTGTTGTTTACTACTCCTGTTTGATACTTGTAAATTGCCACACATTTCCTGGGTGTGACAGTTGCTACTTACTGTTACAGTGTTTTCCATCAGCTCCCAGCTCAAAGCCTGGGTGGCAGGTACGAGTGAAAGATCCCACAGAGTTCACACAGCGATGACCACAGACAGCCAACTCTTCAGCACATGCATTTATGTCTGCAGAAAGAGAAACACAACAGCTGTCTTAACAGCTCTAATTCAGGAAGGCTTATTTGTAAACTATAAAAATGAGCCAACTAGTCCCCTGCATTTAACCCCTCACATTCAATGTAACAATAAATGCCACATAGGAGCCATATTCTTAGTGTACAGTGGGCATTTGGAAATAGTCCACCTGCTATGCATTACCTGCAGGTCATAAGCTCACAAATACCTTTTTCTCTCTATTAGAACATGCTGCTGTTTATTAGTTGGAAAAAGGAGAAAACAAAAAATAGGCCTAATCTGTCCCTTAACAATACATATAAAAGTTATTTTAACTTGTATTTAGGAATATTTATCACATCCCTAACTAAAAATTGCATCTTCTTGTTTTAAATTAATTAGGTAGTGTGTAGCCAGTGGCAGATTTTGGCATATATGTATCACTTCCTGGCTTATGTTGTACATGTGGCTGTTAAAAGGCAGCCAAGTAAACAAACGCTCCTACTTCTCTCTCTCTTTTCACCCATGGTCACTACAACTTCACTACAACTTCAGTTTCATGGCCCACGTTGTCTCTGTGCCTTGTTCCTTCCTTTTACATGGATGGGTGTCATCATCAGTTTTTCCACAAGTATTCTGCTTTGTGGAGTCTCGCACATCATCCCCACCCCCACACTTTTGCACAGCTCATTCTTCTAATGTATTTGTGAAATCTTAAGTATTTGGTAGTTTAGGGGATACATTGTTTTAGAAACAATGTATCAAATATTAAAACAGAAGTTTAAAAATGATAGTGATTTATCTGCATATATTTACAGTTTTCTCATTTTAAAACAACTCTTCCATAAAATCCTGTTCTATTCTTTCTTTCTGCTGAACCAGACAGGGGCTGTGGAATCAGAGGACCAAAGCTGAAATGCTCCATATCACAATAGGATGGTTAAAAAAAGTCATAGAGTTTTATCTTAGTTTTGAATTAAAGAAAAAAAAAAGAATGAACTTCACACTTATTTTTATATCTAACTGTTTTTCAGGTTCTTGAAATGTTTATCAGTCCCATAAGTCAGCAAACATTTTGGTGTTTTCACAATTAATTCAAACAAACTGTTCTTCATTTCATGAAGTGTCACCATAAAAATGAAGGATTCTGTGATTTCTCACAAGTTATTAAAACAAAGACTGCCCCACGGGAGTGGCTTAATTTATCAGTGTTGGTCATGGAATAATTTATCACTTTCATCTGTGAATTGAAGTATGTCTGTTTTGGTATTTCTAGGAAATGGAAATGTATAACCTTGTATTTATAGAGTTTCTTTCTTTTTTATTTTAATTATTCCTAACTTTGGAGAGTACTTATTTGCACATACTTACTTTTCAAAGTTTATCCCCACCTTCTGTAGCTTATAATCAAAAACTCCCCATGTGGTTAGAGAAGATTTTGAAATATTAATTCTATAACTCACTTTAGAAAACAAAAAGCATTAACACCGAAACTATACTAGGTTATTTTTTATTTTAACTAAGAATTTTGCTTAGTTTTTGCAGCATTATAAAAATATCTTTCAGAGTGCTCAAATAAGAATTTGAATGTTCTTTTTTAGCATCATTGAAAACACCTTTTCTCCTCTGTGTTCTGATTATTCAAAACTGAGCTACCACAAAATTTCAAACAATTACACAATTAAGCCATCAGTGTCAGCTTCCTAATTTCACAGGCTTTTTTGTCTTCAGACAGCTGGTACCCTGGGTGGCAGGCACACCTGGCCACGCCATTCTCACTCAGACATATGTGAGCACATCCATTACCACCTGTGCAGGGGTCCATCTCTGAAAGCAATTAAGCAGTGATAGTTATTCATTCAGTTTAGAAAGATGTGCAGGGAAGAAGGGTAGACAAAGAACAGTCAAGAAGGCCCAGAAGCCATTGGGTTTGCCTCTTAAAGATGGTAAGAACTCCAGGAAGTCCTTTCCCATGTTCATATGGAACTCATTCAACAAATGCTTTTCCACTTTATGAACTAAACTTCAAATCTGGACAAATCTAACTATAGATCAAGACCAAGAAGAATTAAACTTCTGCCTTCTACTATGCAAAATTAAACTAGAATCACCAAAAACTCCTTCAGGTGCATATGCACTATTTTCCTTTCTTCTCCCACCTTCTCTACTTCTTTAAGTAGCACAGTCATCCTTTGATAAGTCTACTTTTTCCTCTAGGTCACATCTTCATTTAGACAAGCAATCACAATGGCAGGAGAAGGCAGAATGGAGAGACAAGGGATTCCCCGCCACAGCTGGCATGGAGGCGGTAATAAAGACATTAAAATACCATTGGAAATAGTAAGTTGGCCTCCTTCCCTTTCATTTATTTCTGTTTAAATTGCTCTTAGTCATTTTTTCTAGAATTTCAAAGTAATGAGAAGTCACACATCCTGTTAAGAGTACCTCTATACTGAGCTTATTTGTCAGTTTTTGAGTTGAGTAATTCTGATCTGATTCTATGTATCCAGCTTTATCTATCTTACAGGCTGCAGAATTTCCATGTCTGCCCCCATTCTCCATACATATCTTAAAGTCAGAGTATAAAAACTAACTGCTTATGCATTATCTATAGTATTGGTTCTATGCTCACAGATACTTTTTTTTCACAAAACAATGTATAAGGTTATTCATATACATCTAGTTTCAACCAACCATCACTTTTCATAAGTATTTTCATGCTTCATTAGTTTGTTGTGAAACGTTCAAGAGTTTCCTTATGAAAATATGAATACTATGTACAGAACAATATGCATGGTTCCCTTCCTTTCTTTTGTGATGCAGATGGATTGAATTGAATTATAGATCAATTGGGAAGAGTATTACTAGTTGAACCATATTTGGACTTTTGCTATATGAACATGAGATACCTTCATTTATATAGATCTTCAATTTATTTCAACATCTTACAGTTTTCAGTATGTAAGTTTTTCACCTCCTCTTGGTAAATTTGTGCCTGTGTATTTTGTGATTTTGGATGTTGTTGCAAATGGCATCCTTTGTAATTTAAATTCTGAATTGTTCATTGGTAGTTTACATAAATATAATTGCTTTTAGTAAGTTGGTCTTTCATTCTGCAACTTTCTTGAATTCCTTTATTAATTTCTAATGTGTTATTTAAAGCTTGTACTTCACCATTTTATTTTTAGTTACTATTATTTTAATTGTGCACATTTATTTGTTACAGTGATGTTAGGATATTTTTCTATACAGAATACAAGATCATTTCATTAGCAAATATGTTTTTCCTTTCCAATCTGGGCACGTTTTATTTTGCTTTCTTACCTTACTGCTCTGATCAGAACCTCCTGTACAGTGTTGAATAAAAGTGTCCTGAGCAGACATCCTTGTTTTATTCCTGATCTTAGAAGAAAGGCTTTCAGAGTTTCACAATTAAGTTTGATGTCAGCTGTGAGCTTTTCATAAATTCCCTTTATCACATTGAGGATGTTCCCTTTTATTTCTAGTTTGTTGAGTGTTTTAATAATGACATGCTGTGGCATTTTTTCAAGTGCTTTTTTTCTTCATTATTGAGATTGTCATGTGGTTTCTGTCCTTTATTACAGAGATGGTTTCTTATGTTAACTCATTTTCAGATGTTGTACTGACCTGTTTTCCTGACATAAATCCCACTTGAGCAGACTGTATAATGCTTTTATGTGACAGACTATATCAATCAACTTTTTTGAGATAAGGTTTTGCTGTGTAGCCCAGGCTAGCACTGAACTCACGATTCTCCTGTATCAGCCTCCTAAGTGCCTTGACTACAAGTGTGTACCACCACACCCAGCTGTTAAAGGATTTTCAAATGTCAAATCATGCTTGGGTATCTGAGATAAATTTCACTTGGTCACAGTGTATTATTTTTAATACATTACTGGATTTGATTTGCTAATATCTTGTTGAGGACTTGTTTTTGAGAAATACTGGTTTGGTATATAGTTTTCTTTTTTGTTAGTATCTGTTTCTGGTTTTGGTATTAGAGTAATGTTGGCTTTGTAGAATGATTTAGCAAGTATTCCATCTGCTTCTACCTTCTGAAAAATATTGAAGAGTTTGCTATAATTTTTTCCTTAAGTGTTTGGTAGAATGCAACAGTAAATTCATCTGGCCTGGTGCTTTCTGTCTCAGAAGAGAGCTAGTTCAATGTCTTTAGTAGATAAAATGCTATTCAGAGTGTATATTTCTTGTTTGAGTTCTGGCAGCAAGTGTTTTTCAAGGAATTGACCAATTTCATCTAGGTTATCTAGAGGGGAAGACAAACTCAGAAGTTGTTGGGAGATCTCAACAATCCTCTAACTATAATTGATGAGACAGGATGGCAGAAAACCTGACATGTAGCTCAGTGGTAGAGTACCTGCTTAGCATTTGAAAGGTCCTGAGTTCAATCCTTAGCATCACAAATAACAACAACAACAACAACAAAATCAAAGTGATAGAATAATAATAAGCATGACTTAAATAATGTAAATTAATGGACATTTATAATAACTTCAGTCAACAATTTCAGAATATAACATTCTTTATAAGACAGACCACAATCTGAGTCAAAATAAAGTTTCAATATTTATAAAATAATGATAGGTATAGAGTACTTTTTTTTGAATTAAATTAGCATACAAAATCAAAATGGCACATGAAAATTCCCCAGATATTTACAGATTTAGCAATACAATTCTAAATTATTTAGAGGCAAAATAATAAATCCCAGAGGAAATTAGAAAATATTTTTAAGTAAATGAAAAATTATCAGCATTTGTGAAAGAAAATTAAAACAAGACTTAGAGAAATGGATGGTTTCAAGAACTTATATTAGAAAAGAAGTAGTCTAAAATTTAGGAACTATAAAAAAAGGGAAAATTAACCTCAAATAGAGAAAGATAATAAGTATAAAAATGAAACCAGTGAAATAAAAAAGACAATAAGTAAAAAGTTACTTTTAAAATGTCAATGAAATTTTCAAATGTTTAGCTAAGCTGGTAAAAATAAAGCAAGAATACAAATGAATAAAATATTATAATTTTATACAAATATTTGACAATTCTGTATGAAATAGGCAAATACTTTCCAAAGAGCAATTTATTACAGTTTATTAAAACTGACATACAAAGTCATGGAAAGATTAGTAAAAGTTTATTTCAATTGTTGCAACTGAATTAATAAATGTAATTTTTTTCCCTAAAGAAAATGCTAGGCCACAATGTCTTCATTGGTACATTGTCTCAAATTTTTTTTAAAAAGATAACAATCCTACACAAACTCTTGCAAAAAATGTTGAGAGAAAATTCTTCTCAACTCCATTATGAAGCCAGCTAAGACCAAACCAGAGAGACATTATAAAAATAAAATTATAGAACAATAATCTTAATTAACACAGATGCAGAAATTCCGCATAACATTTTGATTGACAATTTCAAGCTTTGGCAAGGGGATAGAGCACCTGAAACCCTCATATCTTGGGTGGAAATATAAAACTGTTTAACTCTAGAAGACATTCTGGCAGTGTTTTACAAGTATTAAATATGCATTAACCATATGAACCATCAATTCTACTCTTAGCTGTTTACTCCATAATAAATGCTATTTAGTAGTAAAAAGGAAAGAGCTACAAATATGTACCAAACCATAGATAAATCTAAAAATCATTCTGCTGATAAAGGAAGCCAGTACAAATGACTACACACTGAATTACTCTATATGACACTATGGAAAACACAAATATAATATGTAGTGATATAAAACAGATCATTGGTTTCTTAGATTAAAAGTAGAGAGATTATCTGGAAAAAAGTCATAAGAGAAATTTTTGAGGTTATGGAAATATTTATATTTTTATTGTGATAGTTACATAGTAGAAACTTTTAAGTATTTAAAATTAAAACTGTTATACTTTATTGGATTTAAATTATATCATTAAAATTTGATTTAAAAAAGACAAGCAACAAAAACAAAAACAAGAGCTATTTTTGTTTGATTGTATGTGGCTTACAATCAGTCTTCTGTAGAATAACGACTTTAACAAGTCTTTCTTGTAAGAAAGACTGAAGTACAATGTAAGTACTCATTGTAAAGGTACTTAACATGTCCTTACATGTACTTTACTTACATGTAAGTATTCCAGTCTTTCTACAAGTCCCAATGGATATTTTGAGCCCCATTCAATAGAAAGCCCTGTTTTCACTCATTCTTCCTATTCTATAACTACTCAAAAATATTTGCCTAAAAATGAATGTTAATGTTTTAAAGGACAGAGTGAATAACTACACTCCTTCTCCTCACTTTCTCTTAACACCCAAAGCGTGTTACAACGCCTATTTTATTTTTTGATGTCCTTGCCCTGGATAGTCATGTGTCCTGATTATCGATTGGACTAAAGACTGTTCTTTAATTCAAAGACTCAATCTTACCTACTACTTCCTCCCCATGGATCCTTTCCCTTGATTCTCAAGTAATAAATTCTCCTAATTCCAAAGAAATCTCCTTTACAATAGCAACATTTGGTGACAGAGTAGTCCAAGATTAGTAAATTTTTACTGTGATAATAAGTTGCAACATCAAAATAATCTTCTGATGAGGAAAATCTGTTCTTCTGTTAAAATTTCTCAGAGCTTTTAATTGCATTATGGTCATCAAAGTGACACGAGCATTTAAAATATCCATACATATTTGACTGGGTACATTCTTAATTGTTGTTTAAACCTCTTTGAGAGATAAATGTCATAGAACAAATATATTTTAGTTCTTACATTGTTTGCTATCCTAATTTTTAAGAGATCAATAACAGCA